TGTGTGTGTGTGTGTGTGTTCTTGTGTGGGTGCAATGCGCACTTTAATAGGCTCTGGAATTAGGTTAGCAACGTTAACTTTTAAATCAGAGCTTTAGTCCACAGTTTCTGTCCCAAATGTCTGAGTCATCCAAAACAGAAGAAGAAGAAAAAGACGCAGGTTTACGTAAAGAGTTGGACTTTCTCCAAGTGAGGTCACTGACCGTCCTCTGGCTTCGACACAAACATGTAGAGGAAACATCTAAGTCCATGGAAGCCTGTTTATTACCGCATCTTAAGTTTATTTTTTTCATTTTGGACCTGGCTAAAGGTTTGCATCATTTTGTAAAGTGTGTTTGGATCTCGTCTGATAAATGAATCAGTTTATCGTCAGGTTAAAGATCTGTAAGCTTTCAAATCTGTGATATATACATTATGAAAATTGTATTAGTAATAATAATTTATATTTATCGAGAAAATGTATCCAAACAGATGCGATTAGAGGCCAATGGATCTGACGCACCGGACACAAATCCTGCCTACAAATGAAAGTGTGTCCGATAATATAAACACCAGCCGCTGTCATTGGTTTCAAGCTAAATCTCTTCAGGAGGTGGGGTGACACACTACTCTGTTCCACTCGTATTGTGACAGCTTGTAATGTTTCACCATCATCATCAATCATCATTGAGGCTGTGTGGGCTTCAGCTTCAGTTGAATTTAGTCTATAATGTATAATTCCATATGAAGGTCTGGTCCAGCAAACCTTCACAGTGGGGATCAGACCTCAGGCCCACAGGATGAGGAGCTGTGGAGGGACATGATCTGACGATGTCTGCAGGGTTTAGTCGGATGGAGTCAACATATAGAAATGTACGTGATTCAACGCCACCTATAGGCGTCCTTCCGCCAATGCATGGTTGACGTTGGAGCCCACTACAGGTCGAGGGTTTTTTATATAAAGATAAACTACAATAAAAATATTAACTATCAGCTACATTAGCTTTCACTCTACAATAGTATTAAATTCAACAGAATTTGTATCTAACCACATAGTCTATTAGGTTTTAACCTCACTGGACATATTCATGGAGACAAATTAAATTTATCTCAGAGGAAATATGTTTTTAAAAGAGGATCTTCGACACATATTTTTGATTAAATAAGGGACAAAAGAAAAATGTAGCAAAGGCTGTTTCTGTCTCCCACATTGGTGACTTAAATGTTCCAAAATGATTCAGGTTATTCAATACTTGCTATCATATTTGAATGATAGGGTTCTTTATTGCAGGGGGTCACTGCACCTATATATAAAAACAAAGTCTCTGTTCGACCAATAATTTGAGCATGAGGTCAAATAAATAACCTTATTGTGGGTATTGTGTGGCGTCAGTCCTATTCTGTGGGAATGTTATACAGGCTGCTTCACTGAGTTAGGTTAATACTATGGGTCTGTAGTGCAGGGAGCCTAAATGTGACATTGCTTGCTTATGTTATGTCTCAGTTGGATGCATCCTTTGTAATGATGTGACATCAAATAAAGCCTGAGGTGCTCTGACTTTTCTGCTTGTTCTTGTGTTATTTTAAGAGGAACTGTACATTGCTGCCATGAAAGCAGTCTTTACAGAAATACATCAGATTTTTTTTAATGGACCTGCTCTGCTAATCTGAAGATGGTTCTTCAGGAATCCTTATCGGAATTTAATGTTATGACAATTAACAGTGGTATACTTCAAACACAAGAAAATCTCTGTGTCCATTTGATCACTTACAGCGTGTTTACTCAAGACTGAGCTCGTTCCTTGACTGTGTGACTGAAAACGTTCCACCAGCACTTCCTCCAGCTGAGATCAGCACCACGGAGAGCTCCTGTCGAGAAAAGGAGAACAAATCTTCTGATAAATGAGGAACAAACGTATTTAGCTGTAAAGCTGAGTTAGGTCAACTCAGGCTATAGAACTGGATTATCAAAATTAGTGTTTTGGAAATATATATACATGGATTTAACACTAAGCTTCTGTCTTTAAAATTCCAAAGTTAAATTAGCCTCTAAAATGTCAAATATTCTATTTAAATTTTGTTTAAATACCATTAACGTTTATCCTGGGGTACAGCACTTCCATCTGTTAACATTCTGTAGATGACCTCTTGAGCCTGTGGAAACAGAGGCGTGCTTTGAAGAGAGATTTTACAGGCAGGTGTAACACCATAATGAAATAAGACAACACAAAAACAGTTCCAGCCTGGAAAACCTTTCAGTGACATTTAAGAGCTGTGGCTGCCCCTCAGAGCGTCCTCTCTGTAGAAGGTCAATACAGGAGACTCTTTACTTACTGGACAATTCACGAGAGCAAACACAAAGTAATTTCGTAATGGACAGTTTATTAAGGCTCGATTTCTTCTAGAAAGAAAAACCAAGATAGCTCTTTTGAACAAGTTATTATGCCACTACAACTGTGGTCTATAAGATAATCAATGTTTAATATTTCATGTCATTAATCCTTTTGTAGTGTTGAGACATACTTTGATGGCTAGTCTGACATCCCGTCTATTGCAGCAAACCTCTTCTGACAGTTACCATTCACGTGCACAAAAAGCCCTGTACAATCATCACAACCAGCTCATGCTTCCTGAGGCAAAGACGGCGGTGGACTGCGATATCGGTGGCATCCTTTTAGCTTCTCACCTCCCCCCGACTCTATGCCGAATGGAGAGAGCAGGTGTTGGTGAAGGCAGACACGTGAAGGGCATTCACCGTATTGCTTGGATCAACCTAGCTATTGATTAGAGCAGGTAAAAAAGATAAAGAGATGAAGAGGGAAGGTTCCTGTCAGGTCTGTTACTCTACATTACAGGAGGGGGAACCACTTGGCCATGTAAAAAAACACAACACAGCTTCACACATCCCGAAATACGTCCGTGAAGCAAACAGTTTTGCAAAATGCAGTTTCCTGCCATCTCAAAGTAATTAAGGGGTAAACTCACAGGATCAAGATGGATCATACAGCACACACACTGTCTGACATAATCTGAAAAGACCAAACAGCTTCATGTGTATGAGTCCAGGCCACATTATATGAACAGGTGCAACTGTCATTACGGTTTTAACTGAAATATTTCAAACAAAAGATGTGAAATATTTGGATCAAAATAACTGATTTGGTTTTGGAATCTACATCAGATTTCAACTTGGAAAATTAATAAAACAAAAAGTGGCAAAACAAAAAAGATCCCTCTATTTGAAAAAGAAATCCACGTCTTATTCCTCTCTGCAACATGGGGACCTCGCAATCCACAAAATACTAAAGTAACGATCAAACTAATCACAAGATAATCTGCTGATCTCAAATGCTCATTAACTAATAAACTGTCCTCTGGCTTTGAATGCCCTGAAATGACAGAAACGAGAACAGGGGGGGACACCGTCCTGACTCCACAACATTAACACTCACCTACTCGTTTCCAGCAGACCTACTATATTGCAGCTTGCCATGCATGGCACACACATCTATTAGTGACTTTTGTTCTTTTAACTTTTATCTTTTTTACCATGAACATACCTGAAAGTACTTTACCGTTTCATAATTAATGGATTCAGTCTACAACAAACAAATTTTTTTTGCAACAACCAAAAAACACACAGAAACCACATTTCATTCTTATTTTTTTCTTACTTGATAGTAAATCAGTTACATTAATTTTTAGGTTATACATTTTTAGGCTTTCTCCATGAATATATAGGCTCCTACGTTAAAGCTTAGCATTACGACCAACATGATAGACTTAGCAAAACCAAATTCAAGGAAAACGAAAAACAAAAAAACAGAGGATTAAGACAGAATGATGGTGAATGGACAAATAGGTGAACCCTCCCCCCATTTTGTGGAACAAAAATGCAAAAGCGACAATTCATTTTGAACTGATTATAAAACAATTTAAAATGGTGGATGCGACAGTTCTCTCAGACTGGGTTGCGTACACAAGCAGAATCTCCTGATGAAACATACAAAAGACCCCTTTAAGACAAACAACAAAACGAAAGCAAAGCAGAGGGTTTGTGAAGGATGTCAATAGTACAATTTTTGATTTAAATGGTGAGAGTTCTGGTTGTGGAGGAAACATCCGTTATTTCTTTCCCAGAGGCCTTTGCAATTCCTCCTCTGAAATGTCTCGAGTCCCGTGTGACTTCACACTATCCCTGATTTCTCCAGCAGTGTCACTGTTTTGAGCAGTTCTTTTGAGAAGTCACCAATAATTAGAAAAAAAAAACATTAAGGCTCCAGAAAACAGCTTTCTGAAATGAAAATTGTCAGTAGTAAGCCAAAAAATAGAGATTTTGTCAATCTGAATGAAAAATAGATAAATCATTGAAGTTTTAATATCGCACAGTTCCAAGTCCGACATTGCCTTTGGGATCCTCCAACCCTGTTGGCACAGTTAAAACTCTGAAGCATGGCAATGTTGCCCCCACATGGACAAATAGGGGCAGGACACGTCCGTTCCTGATTGTACTGAAATATAAAGTGGCAGATTTTTTTTCTCCATGGTGCAGTCAAACCCTGATTCAATTGGAAAGAGGAGGGGGTGGGAGCAGGAGAGAGAAAACCAGTCTGGTGGTGAGAGAAGAGTACGAGCTTGAACGGGAAGAAAAATATTTAAAAAGAAAAAAAGCTGAACTAAAGAGTGTGGTGGTGGCTTGGTAATACATTAAATCAGCTTGTTATCCCTGCACAAGAAGTGGGTGGTGTATGGGGCAAAAAAGCACAAGTCTCAACAATGGCAGAGATTCACCAGGATTAAATAGGAAAAAAAATGAAGGGCTTGGTTGCATTTTCATATTCTTCTGTCTCTTAAATCAAAAGTCCTAGTGTAACTGTTGATCAAGCCAAGGATAAATGTCCTCTATTGTTTATTCCTGTTTTGGCGCTCCTGTTGGGAAAGAAAAAAATATATAATTAGATATAGCAACCGATAACATCACAGTAAACTGTAGTACATTTTGAATGTATCTATATAAAGCAGTGATTAAATATCAGATTATCTAAATGTTCATCTACACTGCACTAAAAAACCCAATTGAGAGTAATAAGTGACTTTCAGAAAGAAAGAAAATATTGCTGTTTAAATGACACCAACAAGTATGACAGTTCTTTACCTGATCCAACCGAGAGCGGTTCTGTATCTGAGGAGGTTCATAAGTCTGTCAAAAGAAGCAAGAGGAAACAGACAAGAAGTAAAATTAGTTTCACAAATGACAGACAAATCAACAGTCAGTCAAGAGAAGAATACAGAAAACAATTACCTACAGATAAACTGATTCCACTCAAGGTGCCAAAGACATGATTCTGGTGTAACAGTGAGGTGATTTTACCCACCTTACGCACCTCCTCCTCTTCTTCCTGCCTCTTCTCATAATGGGAGAAGTCATCAAAGATGGAGGTGGTGTGTTTGTAGGTAGCGATGATCTTGAGCACCTGCTTGGCCTTCTCCAGAGGGACCTCCTGGGTGTCGCGTGAGTTGGTCACTGGCTTGTTGTCGTTGTTCTCCAGGCGGATGTGGCGCAGCTGGCTATTAGGCACATCCTTAACAAACAACCAGTCAACGTCAAATTTGCCCTTCCACTTGTCCTGTGCCCAAACACCAGCACTGGTGCCATAGTCCACTGGTGAACGCATCTCTGCCACACCGCAGAAATGACCACTGCCGTTGACACTGAACAGCAGGTACACAGGACCTTTACCATTCATGGCCCGGAAGGCTGAGTCCAGCCGCTTGTTGCCATGCTCCGTGCTGCACCAGATCGAGTACTTGATGGAGCGATGTATATCGTCCTCAGAGTAGCTCTTAATGATGAAAACACGACCATTCTTCAGGTTCCATTCAAATTCCTTGGGATTGTAGCTGTGAGAGGCACGCAGCTTATCCAGCACCGGATGAGACTCCGCACCAGGTCCCTGGCTGGCAGAAGTCTGGGGGCCACTGTTCCCACCACAAACCACACCCATCATACCACTACCATCTAGACAGGGGCCCCCTTGCCCATAACCTTGGTTACGGTTACGTGGGGCAACCCAGCGGGTCTGGGGTTGTGGGGGCTGGGTATGGTTTTGGTAGGGCTGAGGTGGAGGTTGATGGTGCTGATGATGGGGGGGCTGTAAGGCCATAGGCTGCATCTGGGGCTGCACCATTGACTGGGGAGGGGGCTGCATGGGTCCTTGCTGCATGGCGGCTTGAGGAGGCATACCATGAGGCAGGCCAAGAGGCTGCTGCTGCTGCATTGGAGCTGTGGCTACTTTAGTCACTGGGCCCTTGTCCCAGGTCCCAATGTTCATGTTGTGTTTGATGGGTGGCGGAGGCAGAGCTCCCCCTAGATTGGGCATCCCTGGCTTTACCTTAGATTTCAGCTGCTGCATTTTGGCAGGCTTGCTGGCAATGGCCGCCCAGGAGGTGGGTTTGGGTGGGGGCATGCCAATAGGTGTGGCTCCATTTCCTGTGGCCACTGCAGGTCCACCAATCACAGATCCTACAGCCTTGATGCCTGACCCCTGGCCTGTAACATCCCCTCCGATCTTCAGGCCAACCATACCCTGCTCCAGGCTGTTCATACCAGGGGCTTTGTTGAGGGTGTCACTGTGAAAGCCCGTCTGACCATCAGGCACCAAGGTACCCCCCAGAGAGCTGGGAGGATAGCTATAGCTGCCACCATAAGCTGAACTTTGAGTCTGCTGGCCCTGGGAGCCACTTGTGCCCCAAGCAGAGAAGGCAGGATTTTCAGGGAAAAAGTTAAACCTGTGGGGGTAGATGCTGCTTCCCAGGCCCCCCGGCTGGCCAAACACTGTGTCCGGCATGAAATGATGGTCTCCATTACTTAAGGCTCCGTAAGGGGTGAGGTATGGAATAGGCGGGTCCCCTCCTGTGGACCAGGGAGCCTCACTGAGGGGGTACGGAAATCCAATGGAGGGGGCGTAGTAGCTGGACAGGTAGGGGTCGGTGATGGACTGGTAGCTGTTGTTCTGGACGAATGAAAGTGAGCAGAATCACAAAATCAGTAATTGCCTTACACTTTGATTTAAAACATCTCAATAAATTAATTAACTTTATATCAAATATCTTTATCAACAGTTTGAAAATCAATGATTGATTTACTTATTGTAGAAATATACAATAATTTAACTCAATGCTATCCGAAATACAATACAATACATTCTAATCACTAATCAGATCATGTTATAGTTCTACATATGTGTGCTGTCCATTTAAAGGTTTCTGTTCTACACATTACAGGAGTTTCGTCTCGTTTAATGCTCAACAACACATTTCAGTCTTTATTCTAACAGTGCACAGTTATACATCAAGACAGAAAATACCTTTATAAATAATGTGGTATTGATTTTAACTATGTGTTATTTCATAACTCAGCAGATGGAGTCTTACCTGAGTTGATTGACCAGTGAGGTAAGGCTCAAAGTCATTGTCATGGACAGTCTCCTTCTGATGCAGTGAACCATTTTGCACTGCAACAAAATACAAAATTAAAATTTTAAACATGCATTATCTGCCTGGCCGCAAAGTATACAGTCCATAGAAATCCAATATATATACGTATAATTGAAATATTTCCCGGTGAAATGCAGTGTCACACACGTAGAAGATAAAGATAAAGAAGTCAAGAGAGTTTGTGGTGATAAGAGCTGATGACGGTGTCGGGTGCTTGAAACAAAATCATGTGATCTCCAAAGCGGAGTCAATACGCCACTTCCTGTGTCTGCCTGCTGTATCCGGCTGCTCCACCTCTCACTTGAATAACACAAAGGATTTTTTGCTGTTGTGAACGCATCTAAGATAAGATCGACTTTATTCATCCCAAACTGGGGAAATTTCAATTGTACAGAGAACTGTAGAGAGAACCTCCTGCTGTGTTGTTCATGTGTGAAAGGCAAACTCTGGGTAAACTCCGTAGCCAATTCTCTGGAATTTTCATGACTTAGAAATGACTAAGGTGTCACTCCACCCTCTAAACCAACTACAGTAAATCAAAGACGACATGAACATCATAAAAAATACAATTATGAGGCCATAACAAAACAGTTGCCAGGACTAATTGTACTGAGTAACTGACTCCCAGCTGATGTTTAGAGTATGAAGCAKKAATAGTGAATTTAAACTTGTGTAGTTTGATTCTTCACATAGAAAAGTGACTGTGGTCAGATTGAAAGCACTGCAGCTAAAATGATCAGTCAATAAATCCATTAGCTGATTAATGGATAAACCATTTTGATCGTCATTGACTTGTGGGTTGGGAAATTGCTGGTATATTTTCATTGCATTTCATAATTTTGATAATTTAGGGACCAAAAACCTTGTGAATCAATCAGGAAATAGTAAGTATTTCACAACTGTTTGCTGTGTGTGTTCCATACAGCCTCATGATTGCCAAAATGTATGACCCCAAGTCCTATTTTTGTCAAAATGACCTGAGGACACTGCTGTGCCAGTCTGCCATTCTCTTTACCAGGCCACTGATCAGTTTGACTAATCAGGTTAAATTATCTGATTCAATTGAAATATCCTTGCTACAGCACATGGACAGTAGCAAGGTGGACTGTGCTGCAAGTGTGAGTTTTCTGACATTCTACCAAAACTCAAGCTGACCACGAACTCCACTCTCTGTGAAATAGCAATTACAGACATTTTAAAGACATCTTTCAGAGCTATGTGCGTCTTTGCTTTGTACTCAAAAGTCCGATTTGGATGGAATATTGCTACAAATTATAACTGTGGATGCCAGTCCTTCAGAGACTACATACACCACCATTGTGCAGGGAAAAAGCTGCAGGGGAAAAAAATGCTTACACAACATTATATCCTCTCATCATGGATACTGTCAATTGACAAAGAAACTGAAAAGAGTGCGTTCCCCAAGATTGGAGGTTTGTGATAATGAGAGGTTTGTGAAATTAACCTGCCCTTTTAATAACATGGCGGATGCTCTACTTCAATGTCTCTGCAAACATTATTATTTCCACTCGTGTCCTGGCTCAATACTGTGCTCGGTATTCACACTAGACATCTAGAGAACATATTCATCATTATTTCATGAAAGATGTTTCCTCCCAAAAATGGATGTTGATGAAAGAAAAATGAACGTGAGAAGAAAAGCCACACCATATATATATATACAAAGCATAATGTAGTGTAAAAGAGTTGTGTGACACAGGCAGTGTGTGAGTGTATGATGGGCTGGTGTATTTAGAGGGAAATAAACTGTAGGCCCAGAGTAGAGATCCAAACTAAATGATGTGGAGTAGATGTCCAGTGATGCCTCCACTCACCTTTAGAAGCTTGTCCTTTTGATCTCTGCATCCAGGTTGGAACATGGAAAGAAGAAGACACATGGAGGACATGGTTTGAGATTTCACACACACACACAGGTTGCCACAGAGCAGCTTCACATGTTGTCTACACACTTTCTGATGAGTGAGTGGCAAAGCAAAACATTCAGGTAACGTTACTCTGCAGTAAAACTACAATACCAGCTGGCTGCAGGTTATTTAGAGTATTACATGATAAGATGTACAACTGTGATACAACTGACGCCCCCCACCCCTTTAAACGGCGTTAATTGCGTTAACACATCTTGTAATAAAGTTAAAAACAACATCCTGTGGAATATCAAGCAGGTATATGAGGCATCTTCCATTAAAAGTTGTGACTGACAGAGTAGGCTAGCTTCAGCTTCCAGTCGTTAGCTATAGGTTTCACATATTCAGGAATAGAAGCTGTTCCTGCTAAAGTCGACGTAAATAATAAAATAGCGTCACACAAAGATGCATTCAACAGCATTTCAGTCAAATATAATGGTGTCGCTTTCCTTAAAGGTCCAGCAAAAGGTGAAGCCGTTTCCCCGGGAATGTGGCTAACTTGCTAGCTACAAGCACCGGCCAACGCTAGTAGCTAGTAGCTAGCACTTCCGAGGAATAGCCGTAGCCCAGTAAACCGTCAACGTTAGCGGGTAGCTTAGCTTTGCGAGCTCCCTTACAAGGCGCCGCGTCCTTCCTACCTGAGGGTCAATGCTTGTGGCAGACATAATTCATGAAGCAAGTCCCGGGATTCTCACAGAGCCTGAGCTTGTGACTGGATCTCGAGCCCCGTGATGTGTGGGGGGGGGAAAGCAACTTCCCAGCTCAAGTTAGCTCCGCGGCTAGTTGTGCGGCGTTTAGCGTGCTGCTAGCTCAGCTGTGTATGTTCCGCTGTGTGCACGTCTCCCAACTTCCACACTTCAAGTCTGTCGCCTCGGATTCTGTGTCCGAGAGCGGCCGAGGGGTCCTGGTGCAGGTGTTTTCGGGTTGGTGCGAAGGTCTCGGAGCTTTTTCGGATCTCGGTTCCACTTCGGTCCTCGCCTTTACTTTGTCTTTTCTCTTATTCCAGAGAGAGAAAACGTTAAAGCCCTGTACACTTCCCCAATGGCTGCTCCATCCGGGCTTCGAGCCGCTGCAGTTCACGTCGTTCCCTGCGGGGGTAAAAAGAGAGAGGGGGGGGGATGCGACCTTCCCATTAAAAAAACCCAAAAAAAAGCAAAACAGGTGACTGAAGCTACCGTCTGTGATTTGCATGATAACAACTCATATGCATTGATTAATGTGAGAAGTGGACTCACATGTGCACGGGCTCTGGGGATGTTTCCTGCAAACTCAGGGGCTGTGCACGGCGCCAGAGGGGCGATCAGCAGACTGTGTGGTTTTCTGCAGAGGGCCTCAGTGGATCTGATTCAGTTCTGCTCATGTGAGACTCACTGGAATGCAAAAACAAAGACAAGTGACATGAGGCAAAATCACTGATGTGTAATAATGCCTTCATTAAATCCCTCGTTGAGTCAGAACCACACTGCATCTTCAGGTGATGTTTATTTATGGGGTTTGAAAAATCTGACTGTTTTGAAAAGTGAGCGAGTGAGTGGTCAGGGTTTCAATCAATCTATCAATCACAGTTCATTTGTATGGTGTATTCACGAATTTGTCTCAGGGCTCAACAAGAAAATCTAACTTTAAAATCTGTAAACAGGAGAAAAAACATAGAAACCTCAGAGAGAGCCACATGTGAGGGTGTGAATGTATGTGGCTGAAATTTACCACTGCAGAGGATGTCATGATAATCGGAGGGTGACTGTACCAATGTGACAGGTCAGGTTGCAGTAAATACAGTAAATGAGTACTTAAGTATTGCATGTTACTTATTATTGCTTACTGATGCCAATTTTTGACTCCTGCAGCTGTAATGTTGCAAATGTCCCCATTGTGGGACTAATAAAGGATTATCTTCTCTTTACTTCTCTTTTCTGAAATAGCAAAAATTCGTACTCTCTTTCACCACCAGGAGGCTCCATGCACGAAGCATTTGAATATTGACAAATAATGTCGGGGTAATAATGATAATAATCTTTATTTATGTAGCACTTCTCAAAACATTGTGCTTCAATAAAAAAAACACAAGTAAAGGAAAAAACACAAAATTAACAAAAATCTACACTAAACATGTGACAGAAATTCAAGCATGACCTCCTAATACAATAATAAAAACTATAATCAGGCATAATCTCCTGCCAGAGGACTTTATAGGTATTGCCTTATTTCATTGTCCTTCTTGTAAATGAATGATGATGGGTGTGATCCTATTATCTGATCGCCAGTGTTGTCTTACACAAGTTTGTCTGCTCTGTTTTCACATGGCATGAAGACGTACAATTCAATTCAACGCAACTCTTCTTGTCTTGAGTCTTTATCCAAATTGTACAATTTAAATTTAAAAAAGAAATTCAGAGACAGAAACAGAGGCTCCTGGCCTTCAAAGTAAAAGTTATAAAATAAACCAAATAAATAAACAAGCAGCTATATATATATTGTATAAGTTGGGTAAATGAGCCATAACTAGACTAAACAATAATAAGACTAAACATCTTATTATTGTTTATGTGTTTATTAAGTCATTCATCTTCACTGTTAAAACTATCAAGTGCAGAGATGTCCTGCAGGCACATGGAGACACTAACACCCAACAGAGAGATGGATCAGTGTCAATATGTTTAAGAAAGGCAGCAGAAAAAGTCACTTTTGTGTTTCCAGTACATTGAAAGGTCAAGTTTTCTTTACGAGTTGAACTCAGTGAACTCTAACTGGGTGACCACCACAATGTTCACTTTGTTCCTGTGTGGAATCATCAGTTGTGAGCTTCTTCTGTTCTAGCCACTATACTTTGATATCATTGTAAGTTCCCTTCAATAGGGATAAATCAGTATTGTTGGGGTAAAGTACACGTCCACAGTTATTTACATGTTGGGCCTTTTTCACTAAGAGGCAGAGCAACATGTCATGTTCAGGCTGTCATTCATTCATGCATCAATGAGCACACACTCTGGCATTTAGTGGATTTTCTGGAAAGCAGTCTCCTGTAGGCCAGCGTGCAGGCCCCCACAGCTGATCATATTATTCCAGTCGGTGTGCTGCACTCACCTTCAGTTCAGCGTGCGCTCCACTATGGACCGCAAAAGGGATGACTGGCACAGGACACAAAGAGAAAGGAAAAGCTACTTGCCACAGAATGACGGATGACAGAAGTACTATGGTGCACATTCTCGAGGAGCCTCAGATGAGAAGAGAAACAGAGAGACTTCGAACTTTTCAGAACTGGCCAGCGGTTGCACCTGTAACATCTGGAGAGCTGGCCAAAGCGGGGTTCTTCTTCCTCGGCCCCGGAGATAAAGTCCAGTGTTTCTGCTGCGGGGGGATTTTAAGATGTTGGGTCCATGGGGACAGCCCGGCCGAGGAGCACAAGAGGCATTTCCCCACCTGCAGTTTCATACTGGGCCAAGCTGTGGGGAACATCCCTCTCCAAGTTGGATCCTCAGACTCTGTGGACGGCCAGTTGTTGAGCCAACTCCAGAGGATGACTATGGATGACCAGGGGACAGCTGGACAGGCGGTGTATCCAGAGATGGAGGCGGAGGATTCCCGGATCACCACTTTCCACAACTGGCCCACTGAGGCCTCAATCCAGCCAGATGTTCTGGCTAGAGCAGGATTTTTCTACACAGGTGCCCACTGTCTCACTCTAAAACCTAATCACATTTGTATCATAAGTATCTGCTTTCTTCATTTTCTGAGTATCCAGGCGTATATATGAGTCAAATGTTCAGCACTGACCCAGTCTCTGCTAGAGTGACCTCTCTTTTGTGAGAGGGTTCATGGTACAATTGTCCTGCTGAGTCATCCTGTTGTGGACAGAACAACCTGGACAAAGCTGGGGCTGCTAGAGAAGTAGGGCTCCGCAGCTTCAGGCAATACACAGGGTGTGGACACAATATCATGAAAACCTACACAAAGTAATGACATCAATTAAAGTACGAGGAGTATTTTTGTGAAGCTAATGATATTAGCTTCAGCAAAAGGTGAATTTATTTGCTTTTTAATTTACAGGTTATGGTTTGTAAAGACAAATTCAGTTTTTTGAATCTATTGTGGAGTGTAAGTTGATTTCCTCTGTCCAGTCAGTGTCACAGCAGTCTCGTTTGTCCTGACAGGTCACGGTGACAATGTCAAATGCTTCTACTGTGATGGAGGGTTGAGAAACTGGGAACCAGGAGATGACCCCTGGCAGGAACATGCCAAATGGTTTCCACGGTAACACCAGGACTAGGATGCAGTACACAGACATTTGTCAAACACATAATTTACCTGTTTTTCTGCACTGGCAAATGAAGCTGTTTCATTAATATACTATGCTTTGGTTTTTGCTCTGCATTCATGCTTCAGGATATTAAAAAGTAAAATAACAAATTTATATTCCTCAGGTGTGAGTTTTTAATCCAGTCGAGGGGACAGGAGTATATCAGCAACATCCAGGATGCTCATTTCCATCTGGGTGAGACTGTGGTGAGAATCCTTCGCATTTGGACAATATCTGTTTGTCACGCTGCAGACACAATAATAATAAGAAGAAGAATTCCACATTAATATATGTCACTTTGCTGGTCCTGTATTTAAATAATTCACAATTTTCATTGTGTATTGAATTTCAAGGGTGGATCTCAGACCTCGACAAGCAGAGATATTGGGTCCAGAAATGGTGAGATATATAACATTTTTTAAAAGGCAGTAAATAAAGGATATGTACCAAAAACATATTTTTTCTCGATCATGTAGACCAGGGTGAATTAATATCTGCCTCTGTATTTGATGAACATCATCAAAATGTCAACATCCACTCCTGCTTGTTCACACAAAAGGGGGAAAGGTAGAGCAAACATGTTGAGTTGGTTGTGCAAATGATTGAAAAGCACGATGATTGAATCTTGAGTGAACCACCTCGGCTGAAATGGGGATTTGAAGGATAAAAGCAAACCTTTCTCTAAGACTGGACTTGTGTTTGCTATTGAATTGCAGTAGTTATTGAGCACTAAGGAAATAATGTGACTGTTGCAGTGGCAGACGAGAGAGGCCAATTATTCCACACAATGCAGGAATCACAGTTCTAATTCATTTCAGCAGATATATAAAGAGATCTTTGGTTTGAAACGGCAGATAAATGTAAGCTGTGCAATTTCTCTTCCTCACTTCACCCTTCCTCTCATCTCTCAGATGTGGTCGCAGGTCTGGCAGCTTCCTCAGCCATGCTCTCTCCCGTGGTGCAGACTGTGCTGCAGATGGGCTTCGAAGCCGACCTGGTGGAGAGTCTGGTCCAGACCAAGTTTCTATTGACAGGCCAGCACTACATGTCAGTATCTGACCTGGTCACTGACGTACTGCAGGCAGAGGAGGAGGACAGACAGAGGGGGCCACGGAGCAGAGGTAACAGCCAGTGGTGGAAAGTAACTAAGTCCTTTTTTTGAACTAAAGTACTTTTCTTTGATAAACTTACTACAGTATTTCTATTTTCTTACTTTTTACTTCCACTCTGCGGCAACCATTGTAGTGTTTACACCACTTCATTAATTGCCAAGCTATATAGTTAGTTTCTTTCACATCAACACTTCTACACACATACATTTCATGGTAAAAACATCTGGTTGGAGCATTTCCTCCCTAAATTAAAAAAATTTGGTTTAAATCTTAGGCCCATATGTGAAAAAAATAGAGAAAGTTCCAGAAATTGTTTACAGAAATCAGATTTTTTCCTTTCTGTTCCTTTATTTCCCAATAATCTTGTCATGACCCCTAAAAATGTATGTTGTGACCCAACAGATGAAGCTGTATCTGTATTCTGCAGATGAAATGGTTCCACTTGTTATATAATGGATCATACTGTGATATGACAGTCATGGCAGATAATGTGGGACAAGTACATTTACTTCTTTAAGTATCATAAGTCATTTTTTGACTATTCACACAAGTATACTTAAGGCATTTCATTTGTCATTTATTAACTTGATATATTTCAGTGGTGTGTGACTGTCTTTTTTAATGTTTACTCACTTCAGAGACTGAGACGAGGCAGGGCTCCAGCGCTGAAAGTGTGAGAACACAAACACCCGTCAGAGGGAAAGGTCAGAGGTCAACAATCTATATGACTATCAGGAATAAAAGCCACTTTTGTGCTTGAAATACTTTCATAATGAATTACACAATTGAACTGCTGATGTATGATTTCTCTATCCTGCAGCGATCTGGCTGCAGACGTAACACTGAGCTTGCAGTTTGTGTCTTCATGTGTTTTTTTCTTTCTATATGTGATTTGACAAACAGTGAAGGACCCCAGTCCAGAGGAGCTGCTGAGGCAGCTGCAGGAGGAGAGGACCTGCAAGGTGTGCATGGACAAATTGGTGTCCATTGTCTTCATCCCCTGTGGTCATCTGGTGGTGTGTGGCGATTGTGCTGCCAGCCTGCGTCACTGCCCCATCTGCAGAGCCGTCATCAGGGGCAGCGTTCGTGCGTTCATGTCCTGAAGCTGCAGTAGAGAAGCCACTGCTTTACAGGTGTTACATGAGTGGCCTTGAGTTTTCTTCTGTACTCATTTTCCCCTTGTACTGATCAAAATCAAGAGTGCTGGTTGCTTGTCACAGATTATTTTCTACAATAAATGGTAAAATAAGGTAAAAATCTTTACGAAATGACACAACACATGGTCGTTAAAAGAGGACATTCTTTTATTAACAAACACCTTTTTACATGAACACAAAGCACAGTTCAGGATAAATAGGATTATGCAATCAGATCACATGGGAACAGGCCAACACAGGACACAAAATAAAGAGAATACAAAAAAAAATCCACTTTTCCACTTTCTATGCAAAGAAAAGTAATTATCTACAAAGAGGTGTTTTTATTTCTCAGTGGGGACAAACACTTTGACAACAATACCAGGTTTTAGTCTGTATTGCACTGAGAGGAAGACTAGTGTTAACGTAATGACTTTAGTAGAATTTTACTACTTATACTGATTATGTTACAATATGAGGTGATTCGTGTTTTTAACTAACCCACACACCAGATATAAACCACCAGGAGTGTGCCAACTTCAAATTATAAAGACAATAAGGACATATATATTATTGCATCTATCCAGTATAGAGAGGACCAATCCAAATCCATCATTGTGACATTAGCCAGCAGAAAGTGGTCAGCCGATTTTCAGAATCACAATTGTAGAATATTAGGTACAATGAAGTCGTCCTATACCACAGGGGATCAGACAACCAGCAGAACTTTATTTGTAGCTGCTAAATGAACAAACAAATACTTCTTTGTTCGCATCTGTTTTGATTATAGCAATGATTCATATTCTAAGATTTTGCAAGTATATTGCAGTCAAATAAATAACATACTGAAAACATTCTGGATTCAAATTCAGTGGCGAAAAACAGACCTTAACCTGAGTGATAAAAGAAAAGGACTGAATAGTAGTATTGAAAAAAATCCGGGACATTTCTGACTCTCTTCACATGACAGTTACTCTTAAGTCCACTTTGAGATGCAGATCTGTAAACCATTAAAAATCAATGAATGATAAAACATGGAGAGTTATGGCAGTACAGGCTTGTGGCAGGGGCCTTGTAACCTGTACATGAACACTTTGGCCACCAGGAGGAACTAGTGATTCACTCAAATAGTGAGGCGACAGAGTATGACCATAAGAGACTGTATAATCCTGATAGATAAAACAAAGAAAATAAAAAGTGCTACCAATCAGTTCAGAGATATGATGCACTTCTGCCTATGTCAAATTATAATGTTACTGGATCCTATTAAAAGAAATGTGAGTAAGAAACTACTCAGCAGAAGATTTCAGATACAGATTCACCAGCTCGTTCACTGTAAAGTCATCTGAAGATATCGGTTTTACTATTTTGCCATCACTTAAGATGTAATACACATAATTACAATACAAACCCTGTAAAAAACATGCTATAAAACAATCACAACTGAGACTATCACCATCGAGAATCTAAACTGTTGGACTGACGGGAGACGAATATCTGATCCACTCACGTATAGCCATGCTACTTCTACACTGAGGACTATACCCATACAGACTCAAACACTGCTGTGTGCAATATGAAGTAGTAAAACAATCTCTATTGTTTCGCTGAAAGTTAAAAATACGCTGTGCAACCCTTGCTCGAGACAGTGTGAGAGTGTGTGTGTGTGTGTGTGTGTGTGTGTGTGTGTGTATGATCGGCCCTGATGTGTCGTCAGTAGTTAGGAGGAGAAGTGAGAGGAAAAGCTCTCGGCACATCATCCGACGAGGCTGAAAAATAGTCACAATAATAAGACTCCAAAAATAAAAAGGTAAAACTCAACATGCTGTTTCCTTGTGTCTGAACACCACTTGCAAGCTAAGCTAATGCTCTTTCACATTCTTGACACAGCTTCACATGTCAGACTCTCAATCCAAACCACCACCCCCCCACCCTCCCTTCATTATTTACATTTTCTATTTTTGACAGATGCCACTGAAGGTTTCGGAGCTTTTGTTCCATCCCCTCCCTCTGCCTCTTCCTGCTTTACTCGTGTATTTATGCACACAGATCCTGGCCTAAAGTAAACAGGCGGCACACAATAGCTCATTCCACAGGCTCCACTGTAATTCAGCCCTCCGGCCAAGATCTGAGCCAAACCGGCAATGACACGCTAAATCACTGAGTCCTCTCGAAGACACAGACTGGGAATGCTGGGCAATTCCTGGTTACATACACACTGTATTTATATGCTGAACATGTTCTATACAGTCATGTTCTGGGGGAGTTTTAAGACGATTATGGGGCAGGTCAGTGCAGCAATGGGACCTTAGCAGAGAACTCAACACAAAGAAAATGATTGATACTTCCCTAAATACACAATATGAGACTTTGTTCCAGTGCAATCCGCCCCCCTCGTTCTCAGGACCCGTCATCTCTCATGGAAAACAATGGACCCTAACGGAGAAGCGTTGGCTTTTCTGGGCAGCACATCAGTAAATGACATGTTTAAAGAACTGAAATCAAGAAGGGGGAGGAATGTCTGGCATGCCCCGGTGCACTGGGGACATTTGCGTCAAAACAGCCATTTTGTCTCCGTGGGAATCTGCTGTCACCTCCCTGCTGGACGCTCTCCTATTTACGTAGACCTGGAGAGGAGAGACACACGTGAAGGAAGAGCAGAGGGTTAGCAGCCATTGGAAACACACACACCTGGATGAATCTATCCAGAATATAACTCCCTGTGGATTGAAGAGACAAAAACTTCCTCCCATTAGAGACAAAGCTGATTAAACTATTAATAGGGCTAATAAAACATTCATTTCACGTTGGCTGAGACCTATCACATAACTTCCAAGGCCTATTGTTATTAAATTATCTGCAACTTAATTGATTAATCCAATAGGCTGGAAATAATCCAATATTTTTAGTATGTTCTTCCTTATGTGCTTCTTTCAGCGGACGCAAAAACAAAAACAGCAGCGTGAAAGGACTTCATATTCCCAAAGCCCTCTGACAGGATGTAGCATGTTTCACAGAGTGCTGTTCTCCCCAGACATGACTCAAATCTCCGAAAACTGAGCAAGGACCTCCGAGTCATTCTCCTGTTGTAACCCACATTGCGTCCTAACCCAAATAATAAAAAGCTCTGGAGCAAATTGACCTTGAGTTGATATTACTTTGTCAATTCAATTCAATTTTATAATAATATCAGGTGAAAAGGGAGAAAACAACCCCACACAGGCAACTACATTAGAACATCCCAAAATGCACAATATCTCAAACGTCAATGGTGATATTCACATTTACAAGTCACAGGGACACACAGTGTACAATGGGATGACAGCACCGTCATACTTACAGGTACATGGGCTTTAAGAGTAGATGAGATGGTTTCTCATTGACATGGTAGAGAGGGAATGGGTCAAATCCACCAATAAAATCAACTGAAAACAAAGAATTACACACATAAATTATGGAATAAATAAAAAGACAATAAATAAGACGATCAACAACAAAACAAAAACATGTGTGACAAAAAACACCAAACAATGAGTTGAATGAGATGGAAACAAAAAGACACAGTGGGAACAGGAGTAAAACTGGGGTGTGTTGACAGCTTGCCAAGAACAGGACACGCTTTTTTCTTTCTTTTTAGTTTTAACTTTGACAAAACAAACAAAAAACTCTGCTTTACTTTTTTTCATCTGTGCATCTGCCCTGAGCCCGAGGGGAAGCTGGGGAACAGGTGTAAGCTGGCCAGCTGTCAAAATAGCCAAGTCCTTTTTATCGCTCAGAAACAGAGGTGACCTTCAGCCGCCGACCAAACTCTCAACCCTCTCTGTTTATTTTCTCGCTCTGAAGTTCAGACTCCAGGCGAGGGGCAGATGAGCCGACGAGTGTTACGCCACGCCAGAACGAGAGGGACATGCTGGTACCAAAGTGCTGCATATTATTCACAGATGCGGAGAGATGTTTTTTTTTTTTTGAGATGAAGGAAAGTGCTCGCGGCTCTTTGGGGGACACACACAAAAGGCTGAGTGAGAGAGAGGGAGGAAACACAGGGGAGGACGAGGAGAGTCATGCTTGTCGGTCTGACTGACGGAGGAGAGGGGGAGGCGAAGAGATTAAGTTGAGGGAGAGTTTGTCAAAGAGGCCAGCGAGTCCAGGGGGCTGAGAGACTCCTGTAAACATCACGAGAGGAGAAACCTGGTTCAGTGGAAAAAGACACAGACCAAACAGTGAATCCTGGACCAAGAGGAAAAGGAAAAAAGGGCAGATCTGTGACTTTCTGTGGAGACAAACAGAAAAACACAAACCGGCCATGGAAACTACCGCAAGGCCAAATCTCTTTCATCCTGATAAGAGGAGGCCGGGGTGGTCTGCTGAATACTGATAGGTGGACAGGATGAGCACAGAGCCACAGGGTGCTCTGACCCTGCCCTGCTCCCTTGTAGGATTCATCTGTACACACACACACACACACACACACACACACACACACACACACACACACACACACACACACACACACAACCCTATTCCCTGCTCTTTTCTGTACCAGTGATTTTCTCATTATAAGCAGGTGGGGATCCATCTCCTGCCACGATAAACTGTGCTGAGGAATACACTCAGATGATAATGATGGCTGCACTTTTTAGATAATCTGCCGGTATATCTGCCGGTCTCTGTCAGTGTGTAAATCCAACACTTTTGTTCTGAGTGAAATATCACAACAACTACTGGATTGTGATATTTTTCAGACAATCAGTGTCTCCAAGTCGAGTCACGTCAGATTTATGTATAAAGCAAATTAAAAACAACAGGAGTTGAGCCCCAGTGGGTGAAAATACAGGCAAAGGAAAGTAAAACAAATGTTGATAAAGTGCCAAGAAAAAAAGTACAAAAAGAAACAAGAGGCTAGTACTAAAGGATCCCACACAGGAGGAGTCCTACTGAGTCTTTGTGTCCAAAGAATTTCCAACTTTAGCACAAAGAGGTGATGTCTCTTGAATAACAATCACAGGACAATAATTGGCAGAGTCTCTACATATATCTTATCTTGTTCCAAAACACCTTGATCTCTATCCCCTGCTATATAATGTACGCCAGCCAGTCATGCTTGCTTGTCCGTCATTGAATGTTTCCCCCATTTATTAAATACAATTTCCCTGATTTTTACATATAGTATGTTCTAACCCTGAGCTTGATATTTCAGTGTATATTTACAGGAGTGAAATCAGAGAAAACACTAACATACTGCATGTTGGGTAATGTGTCTTTGTAAAGTTTTGGGGAATATTTGAGTCTTTCTGAAGTAATCTGTCTTAATGGCTGTTGTGTAAATAGCAAAAAAACTTAAAAATGAATGCAAAAGGCTGTTCTTGGTATTCAAGTGTGGATACCAGCACCTGGCAAGATGGAAAACTCAGAGTATTTAATGTGTTCTTTCACGAAAAGGTCACGATTTTGGAAACTGATATTGGCAGTTGATCGGTGCTTTTGCTCTAAGGGACGAGCTCGGCCTCAGGGAAGTCATTGGTTCTCACTTGTGGGGACACACGCAAGGACTGAAAGGTATGTAGGTCGACACTGAAGGCATGTGTGGGGTGCCCCTTAACAAGTCGGGAATAATGTCAGACGATTTCAGTTTCAGTCAAAGTGGAAACCATGTGACGTGTACTGATCCAGGAGGGACACTGACAGTCAATGTACAGTAGACTGCTGAATCTCAACCGCGTGTGTGTGTGTGTGTGTGCGTGTGTGAGCACAGAGGTAGAGGGAAAATCGGGGTGCGTGAGAATAAAAGTGTTTGAGGAAGACTGAGAAAATAGAGGGGAGACAGGACAGAGACAAAGATGGAGATAAAGAGACAAACAGCTCCAGACTTCACAGCATATCTGTAACAATCTCTATAAGATGAGATAGAAGACACAGTCGCTGTCTCTCTCTCACTCTCTCTCTGCCTCACACACACTGTATTTAAGGGAGCTCCAGCACTGACCCTCAGTCCCCACACACCATTACACAGCCATCATCGCTGCACAGGCTACTCATCTACTTTAAAGACTGGTTTAGTGGTTTTATGCTTAGTTCATTTTGCATATGAAAACTTCAGCTACGTTTGATGGACACTGTATTTAAACTTAATCATCCATGAAAACAAGAGGAAGGTTCCAGCCAACAATTCAGCCCCTCTCACGCTGGACAAAAGAAGCCACTAACTAACACCCGCTCACACGTGGCGTCTGTCTTCAGAGGGTCAGGCCACCATCAGCGTTCATTAATCGATCAAATGACTCTTCAGTGATCTCAGGTTTTTATCTGCTCCAGCTCCCAATCGGCAGGGATGGAAACGTGACCCCAGGGAGGATGTGCTAATGTTCGGCCCTTTTACGACGCAACAGATCGGGGGGCCACTTTTAACAGCAGCTTTCATGGAGGCAATGAAGACTCGACTCCCCTGTCGGTAACTTCTGCGACTGTTAGGCTTCTCAGCCAAAAATTACACCCACGTCTGTGTCTCTCTGAACATGGTTTCATTGGCATTGATTTTAAAGAGACTGATGTGAAATATAAATAAAAAGTAACCACTGTTTCTCTGCTTTCTACTGTTTAATAACCCTGTACTCTGGAGAACAAGAGACAGAAAGGCAAACGCGTCCACTGGCCATGTGAAAGGAATAAATACCCTTTTTTCCTGCAGGTTTAATCACATTTAGAAAACCCACATATTTGTGCTAATTTTGGTTTAAAAGGGGTTTATGGAGAGGTCCGACTTTAAAGTCTGTAAAGTAATGGTTTTAATGTGACAAATACAATAAATGTTCTTGCCCTAATGTCCCTTAACTGATTATTTTAATAGATTAATAAACTGAGGATGTCTCCAGGAGCTATAAATGAGCAAGAAAGCAAATAAATTGTGGAATAATTGACAATAAAATGAAAATAATACATCTATAGGTCAAACATAATATGATCCCATGTGCAAATACTGTTCAGATAATTTAATATGAAAAATGTATTTTATGTGCAATAGAGTTTTAATAATCTTCTCTTTTTGGCTTTTTTAAAATTATATATTATATTTGAATTGTAATCGATATAATATTGTTTATGTAGGTGTTTCTCTTTCAAACATGAAAACACTTGACAGACATCCCACTCTGGATTGAAACGTTGTTTAATTAAAATCTCTGTGGCACCGAGTGGCATTAGTGTGCAGGCAGTACTTTATTTTAGTCAAATACTGTGATGCAACAATGAAATAGTTATGTTGTGTAAGTGATTTAGTAAAAACTATTTCATGCACAAAGGGTTTAACATCGATAAGTCGATAAAATTGTCCTGCTCTTACAGATACAACAAGGTCAATCAGGCCCAGTCTGTATAAACCCACACAGTCCTGAGAGAAGTGGCAGCAACAGTGTCAATCCATGTGGACTGCTGGTGTGCAGAGGCTGTAATTTGTTAGCTGGAAAGATAATATCAGAATTTTAAAAAAATATCATATTCCACAAGTACAGTATGAAAAAGTTTAAGGCTTTTTCACAAGAATTTAGGCTGGAAATTTGACACTGCAGGCCACAATCACACACCATCAGACCGCTAATTTTGCAGAATAATGCTATTTGTTAAAGGGATTTTTAGCCACTGGAAAAGTCTTAATCAAGAAAACATCATGTGTATGTATAGACGTGACATAAACTCAGTGTAGTTTATAATGATATTATGCCAAGTTAAGTTAAGAGCTGTATAATTTCCCTGTCACCTTTCCAGTCTGATGAGTCTCAGATTCATTCTGCAGCATGAGACCAAAAAAGAAACTTCACAGACAAGACGATGACTAAATAAAACACAAAGGAACTATTTTCACAGTAACAGCTCAGACTTTATCATCATTAACAATAATTACTTTGATTATATCGACAGTGAATTGACGCTAAAACCGAGCAAACCAAATGGAGCTCAGCCATTACACATTTTGTCTTTTGCTACAGTGACATATTAAAAGGTCTTCTGTAGAAAAATCCTTGTTCTACTTGGATTTGTGAGGTGATAAAGTGAAAACCGGTTCAGGCTTTTACTTTATTTATTTTTACCTTTTCACTCATATGCTGCCACCTACAAATTAATCCATCCCTCCAGTTGCTCCGTCTGCTGCGGAGGATTTTCTGGGGATGTGACTCAGCACACAGGGAGGCAGCATAATTAGCAGACATGCTAAAGAGAGCTTATCCCAACGCTCGGCGGCTAACTCCATGACCTACTTTACAAAGAGGATTTTCCTCACCACTCACTCTGCCGGTGTGTCTGCTCGCCACCGATAACTCTGTGTAACAAATTAACACACACTAACACCTACACACCAACACTAATTCATGGTGGGGTCCAAAGGTTTGAGACCACGTTTCCCTTCACTTCAAATGGAAAGACTTTTCGACCCCACTGATGTGTGTGCACGTACACACAGAGACATCCATTTATACAGTGAGAGAGGAAGAGATGAAGTCCTGTCACACACACACAACCTAAGCCGATGGTGTATGATGCTTGTTATTCTTCCTATTGTGTCTCTATTTCTTGTTTTTCTTTTGTGTGTGTGTGCACGTTTCATCCCGCTAGTCTTTACGCAAGCCTGATCACTCTAATCTATCTCACCCCTCTCCCTGGAGAGCGAGGGAGTGCTGGTCGTGAGAGGAATTCCTGTCTCGTCTCCTTTAGTCGTGAAACGCTCATCTTATCTTGTGTTGTTTGTTCCTGCGTATTATTTATTACTTATTTTCCCCTCCCTGGCTCGCTCCTGATAAACACCTCCCTCTCGTACTCCTCTTTCTGTCTTTCCTCCCTCTGTTTCTGCCTCTCCCCGAGGATCCTTCCTGTACCCGTCTTCTCTCAGTGAGGTGCAATCAACAGCGAAGTTATTGACCAGCAAGGCACTTAATGAGGCTGATACAACGAGTGACCAGAGAGCTCTAACTTTTTTACAACGTGCGCACCTCGTTACAGCTCGGAAACCAGAGACGGGAGAGAGAGACGAGAGAGAGAGAGGAAAAGAGACAGTACTTCTTAAACATACTCAAATTGGATTCTGATACTTCTGATTCCATCTACCTGTGATGAAACCACAAGGCCTGCAAGGGAGAAGTGATGGAAAAGTTCTGAGTGGGAGGAGAGATGCTAATGCAGCCAGAAGGCTCACTGCAGAAACTTGCTTTAATCTACAGATCAAATGAGAAGAGAAAACGAAAGCAGCAAGGGGCCTTGGCTGGTTTTTTTTTTTATTACGTGTGTGTGTGCATGCAGGCTAATGCACGATTGCGATAACAAAGAGTAGGAAGCATTTTTGCTCCAGCACGGCCTGGATCAGAGAAGAACTACCAGATGATTAAAGCCAATAAAAATCACATCATGTTCTGCAACCTTTCCTTATTTCTCGTGGGCTATTTTTTATCTCCGAGTGTGGACGACTGTCTGGTATGATTTTTAACAATCCCTCTGCACCAACTGTCCACGCTTTGAGCTCAAAGGTCCCAAAAAAAAACAAATGAAAAGTCATTGAGGAGAAAAGTCTTTCTTTTTTAAGTTCCAGATGAAATGGTATTATCCTCCAGGGATTACTTATGGGTGATTAAGTGGTGCTGCCCAGAGCTGGGAGGGGAAATCAGTTGGACATCAACGCTAAACAGTCACAGCCAGTGAGTCTCTGGTATGTGACCACCAAAGAGCTGCTTGGACCCGTGTGCCACCGGTCAACAGGAACACACAAGGACACCACATCAAAATCCTCCCCAATTACAAGACTGTTGTCAAAGACACTTTTAGTACATGTGGTGCTTTGTTCGTCGGGCTGTTTAAATCAAATTACAGTTTTGTCTACAAAAGGGACAGAAATGATTACAGCCAAGAACCATATTCTTTACACTTAAGCTGTTTTCAGATATGAACTCCTGAAAGTTTACGGCCAATTAGGACAATTACATAAGGAAATTATCCCGACTTTAACTTTCACACTTTCCAGGTCTGGGTGGAGCATGCAGGAGGCAGAGCATAAAGTAAAAATTCCACTGAGGAAATCCCATGTTTTTATAATGCAACTTTTAAATTAGATTTTATTTGTTTCTTTATTTTTTATTTCCTTTTCTCTTAAATGTCATTTTAACATGTTCCTGTTTCTTAAAATCTGTTCTCTGCTGAATTTCAACATGTTTTTATTTTCATCTATACTGCATGTAAAGCACTTTGAGCTGCACTTCTTGTATGAAAAGTGCTTTACAAATAAAGTTTATTATTATCCAACTATCTGACACCTGCACCTTCCTGCATTCGGTTCCAAAGCACTGCTTGAATATATCTGTAATGCATGTGAGTAGCGATGAGACGGGGATAGCTCTGCAGTGCTAATCAGATATTTATGACTCCCACCGACCCTTAAGATCAAATGTTTCCTCTCATATGATTGGCTAACCTTCCGCATGACCTCTGATCTTCTGCCTTTGAGGTCACAGCAACTGGGATATTAATCACAAGTGTCCGTCTCTGGTTTCTCCTTCTTCTCTTTTTTTTTTCCACACTGTCGGCCGTTTTACACACGCAAAGGTCAACACCATATTTAAGGTTTAATACAGAACGACAGGAGGAGGAAACAGAGTGAGGAGCCACTTCAAAGAAACTATGAATATCTTTGAGTAGCAGCACGACACAGATGTGAGGAGCGAAGGTGTGTTTGTGTAAGAGAGAAAGTGGGGGAGGTGCACCCCTGCAGAATAAAAACACCCACCCTACGCAGGCTTCAGACAGCTGGAGTGACAAACAGGGGGTGCGTGGAGAGACGGAAGTGAGAAAAGTGAAAGCCAGAGTTCATTAAAGGAGAAAAAAAAAACAGGTTTGCGACAGCGAGGACCACACAGAACGTCGAGGGGGCGCGACGAGGCGACGAGAGGACACGCGAAAGAGAAAGGAAAGAATGGGTTGAAGGAGGTGTGGAGAAGGAACACATGGCTGCTTTGGTTCTGGAGGGAGAGGGCCCAGCTGGTGTGGGGGAGGAGGGGCGAGGGAGAGAGAGAGAGAGAGGAGAGAGCTGGGAAGAGAGGGATTGGTAAGAAAGATGCTCTCCTCAACTTGGGAGTCGTCTATCTCATGTTAGTGGGTGGGTGTGATTCAATCATTGATGCAAGGCTTGGTTTCAGTGTGTGTGAGCGTGTGTGTGTGTGTGTGTGTGTGTGTGTGTGTGCGTGCGTGCGTGCGTGCGTGTGTGTGTGTGTGTGTGTGCGTGCGTGCGTGTGTGCATGTGTGTGTGTGTGGGGTGGGGTTGAGCAACTCACAGCTGTCCTCCTCCTCAGTGATAGCGCTGACAACGTAGCAGGCGTACACGAAGCCAAGGAGCTGTGGACACACAAGCAAACAGGAGAGGTTAGAGTCCGCAGAGCAGCCGATGAACAACAGTGTGTTGGCTCTGATGGACAAACAGATAATACAGAAAGAACCTGGAAGAGAACAGACAGTTATGACTCTGAGAGATGGAGGCTGTGTGGTCTCGGGGGGGGGGGGCCTCCAGTTTGCGGCCGGTGCAACACTATAAAGAAAAACACTACAACGGAAATGATTGATTCACTCAATTATTTTCTTGAAGCCACACAGGTTTATTTACTTTTTCTGAAGTTACTTTTCCTGCAACTTTTATGTTTTACTCTGGTCACTGCTCTCATCAGCATCAGGCTACATCCAAATACATTTTTACTAATTACTTACTAATTAAAGCACCACCAGACACTAGTGGAGCACTTGGCAGCTAAAGAGACAGATGTTCTCCTTAAAAGTTGGTGCAGACCAAAGACATTTTATTAGGGAGCTGGCAGGAAAAGTTCTGGAAAATAACCAATGCATTTGAGTCAGATATTCAAGATATTCTAGAGTTCAGCACATGTCTGAGAGCATCTTATATGTCATTTTTTCTAATATATTTACTTTTACAGGTTTTCATTTCAAACGTAAATGTAAACCGTCCAGACAAAAGTTTTAGGTCCAAACCGGGAATGAGGACAGCAGTGTTTCCAAAAGTAAATATTTTAGTGGCTTGAAACCTCCAGAGTAGAAAGGATGTCAGACAAATTTTTAGTTTAAAACAAAAATATATTAGTGTAGATGTGGCATCATTTCAACTGCGGCAGGCAGCGTTTTTGAGCAAACAGCTCAAACCCACCGCACACAACCTGCCCAGCACCAAAAAGACAAAGTTACAGTGAAACCACTCAAGCACGTGGCAGCTCAAGCTATAGATATTTCCCTAAAAGCCAGTGGAGACCAAAAACAAAGCAAAAACCAAAGGGACCACTGGACTTACATCAATCAGGCAGCCAGAAACACAACACCAAATACACTGTAAAGTGCTGGGCATGTAAACAGACAACTGTTTACTGACATGTTCAGCACATCAATCTGAAGGTAAAACTAAGTCAGTGCAATGTGTTTACAGCTCTCATGAGTTTTGCTGCAATATCTGTGTTGGCAGTACTATAGACGTTGACAGGGTTTCCTCAGTGTACATACAGTAGCTGCTCAACCGAGTGGGCACACGCAGCACTGAGAATAGCCTGTGGAACTGGCAGATGGCTGTCATCGACTCAGAAACGGACACGGTGAGAGACAGTCTCTCACCACCAAGCCATCCATCCATCCATCATCTGGCACTCTGCCATGCCAATTAAAACAGCGCCGGGCACGCTGCCCTCCTCACACACTGGGTACACAAACACAGAGCCCATGTGGGGGGGGGGGTTGACTGGCTATTTATATAACATTGATTCAACCTATAACTGGGCTTGACCTGCGTAATTATTATAGGAACAGTTTGCACGTCTTTATTCCATTTTTCATGCGTCTAATATATGTGGCCTTCGCAGAAGTTCATCCAGATGTAGATTAAATGTTTTATTTATGAACGAAACGCAGCTGTGGTGTCTAGTGGAGAAGAGAATGGGTCGGTCTCTGTGTGGGCACGATAAGATTCCAAACTCTCCTCTCTCTGCTTCTCTCTCACCTGTTCTCCTCGCTCTAGTATCTAATTGCTGGTCTCACCCCATCCATTACTGTGGCAGTGAAATGGAGGTGAATTAGCATATGTATAAAGCCAGTGTCAAACACAAGATGGTGTTAACAGCAGGGGGCACACCCTGTTTTTCCAATTGTATTGTCGCTGTGTGTGTGCACGCATGTGTGTCCTTGTGTGCTTTTCCTGCACAAGTGCACACTGAGTGTGTGCTCGGACAAGTTAATATCTAATGCATGAGTGCACGTTTGTGTGATTTGCATAAAGGGTTGCTGTTGTGGTCTGAGTCAAAACATTATACAGCCAACATGTCACAGCAGAGGAGGCTTAGAAAACAATGGTGTTTGCATATTATACTGTATATACAGATGGGGGAACAGTTAAGGGCAGAGCTAATACTAAGTGTAGGAGTAAGGTATTGAGCTGTCAGAAGAGCTCTCAGATCACAATTCTTACATCTTATATTCCCTCATTCAGTGTTTTGATAATGGTGGTGGAGCCAGGTGCAGTGGGCCATGTTCAGACCTGCTATTAACGGCCATCCTGAGTGATTAATGTATGGGAAACACTGAGAAGTAAAAAATACTTTTGGTATATTGTGAAACTGAAGCGTGACAGACGACATCAGCTAAGCACACAGTTTATAAATGTGGCCCAGAATGCATTTGTGCTCACACAGATAAAAGAATGCAGCCACATGACCACCTCCCAATGCAGTCTGAGGGATTGGATGTCTTCATCACCACTTGTATTCAGATCACTCAGGACGGGTGTCAGGTCTGAAAATTGCCACAGATTGAAATTGGTGTTTCACAAATCACTGCTGCTTGAAAAATAGGAGAAAAAACTGACTGTGTTCACGTGTGGCTCACGAGAATGTTTTGTTGAGAGAAAGTTGAGATTTAAAATGAGAAGAAAATCACCTTTTGTTAGAAATCCCAGCAAATCCTCAAACACCCACATCAGCCAGTTTCTGGTCTGAACCCTCAGTCAGGTCTAAAGTCTAATCGTTGTTTGTATCATAGCATAGCACATCGTATTTCTATTCTAATCAATGAGGAGGCACTTGTCACCGTCTGTATCTACAAATGCTCGTGTGAGAATGAAACAGAATATAGGAGAGGAAAGAGTGTATCAGACAGATTTAGCCTAAAAGATTTTTAGTCTGGTACAACACAAAGCGGCTCAGACGTTGACGAAAGAAACAAGACAAGGCCAGTTTTATATCTAAAGCTGTGCTGTCGCCCCAAGGGAAAACAAAACACAATACGACTGACATGCTGTGGTTACTTTTAGCCGCAGCTCACATTTATAAATAGCACTTGTGAAAAGAAAAATCCAACACAGCGCAAATTGACTGAAACTGAATATTTCTAATCAGTGAAAGCCAAAGTGTGAGTGTTGCTCAGCGACGTGAAGTCACTGTCTCTCACCTCCACTGATATAAAACTATGACGTCTGGACAGTGACTCTGGAAGGATTTCTGCATCCCTCCACACACCGATATCATCCTTGTCTTCCCGTTTCCTTTTCTGAGGCCTCAGTACATTAGTGTTACATAAAGGAAGCTAATAAGATCAAAGAAGTGACCACTTGGTGGTTTTTCCCTGGAGGCGCTTCTGCCCTTAAGTAATACAGGTCAGTGTCCTCAATAATAAGTGACAAGTCCACTTATAGCTTCCTGCATATTTAATGGACTCCCACAAACACACACACACACGTGTGCGCACAAACACGCACGCTCCTCAGCTGTCTTCTTTGACTCTGATTCATTTTGAAAATTAATGTCATAATAATTAAGCTCATAAAGCCCCTGCATGTCCTCCGAGATTGGATCTCAGTCCGTCTGTGAGGACGTGTCACACTAAAGCCAACTCTTTTATCTGCCAATCATTTCTTGCATGCTGCACAGTCTCTTCCTGAACAAGTCTCCACCTCTCTTGAGGTGTTTTCAGATATGAACTCCAGAAAATGTCAGAAAAATTGGATCCAGAACATTCAGGGGAGGGGTGGTGCCTGGGTCAAGTATGTAGGGAGGACACAATGTATTATACTTCTGTTTATCAAAAACACTCTCCAATCTCGTTGTCTTTTCAAGTTGACATCTTTATGTGTCTTCTAAGTGCATGTATATCCAGTATCGTGTTTGCACATATTACAAACATTATCAACATTAGTTTTCCAGACATTTAACTTGGGGGCTGGCAGGAAAAGTTCTGGAAAATATCCGAAGCAACTGACTCAGACATTTACGTTCTCCCATGCAGCCCCTCCGGATAATTTCCGCAGTTCAGTTCAGGTCTGACAGCAGCTTGTGTGTCCTTGTTTTATTGTCTTTCTAACAAATTCCAGCCTCCTCTCTCTCTCCTCCTCTGCAGGTTGCAGGACAGTGAACACTGGACAACTGACTTAAGGAAGCATGACAGCAAAAACAGAGGCACAAAAAGTTCAGCCCCGGATGAGGACAAACATCAAAAGCAAAGCTATCCTCCAGTGGACCCCTTCATTTACTATTCACTATGTTGCAGAGGAAACTTAAGACGGTATTTGTGACCGTTCAGCATTATCTGAGTTTCTTTTCCCTCGAAAATAAGGGCGAAAGAGAAGTTGAATGCTCGGGCATTAATTTGTGTGTGTGTGTGTGTGTGAGAAGGAGGCCAGCTGCTGAGCTAAGAAGGAAGGCTATTTGTATTTGCATAGGCTAATGAAGGTCAGGTAGAGAGAATGTGCCGGTCCACAAAAGACCCATAATCACCTTTGACAGCACACTCTCACTCATAAACGTCAGCTCACCACGCATGGCTCTTCCTCATGATTAGAAGCTTTCATTCTTCTCAGTTATTCTGGGCGACTACAATAAATCAGAGCAACATGAATTCATTTAACTGTCAAGATGTAATTACATTTGACAGGGTTTCTACGAAATGTTTACATTAATATTTTACAATATTTTCCTCATCTATTAATTCAGCTATTCCCCTCGGTTTCAGCTTGTCACATGTTGTGTTTCTTAAGTTTCTCAGCTTAATAAATTAAACATTTTAGATTTTAGACATCAGGTTGGACTAAATAAGCCGTTTGAAGAAGCCATTTTCTTGGCAGTTTCCCCACAATTTACTAATTCTAACTGTGATTAATTAGTTGGTCAAAAATAACAGACAGATTAATCAATTATGACAACAACTGCAGTTTCAGTCTGCATTTTGCCTGATTTTCACACACAGTTGGAGGTACCTCTGGTGCACAGCCGCCGGGCCTGTGCACGTGCCTGTGCAGTGATGGATATCTGAGTCGATCTACAAGCTAATTAACACACTATTGATCGTAGCTCAGTGTCATGAGAAAAATCAGAGTGAACTCTAATAGCAGGAATTCGTAGGTAGAATATATCGCAGGGGGAGATGGAGTGGGGGGTGCAGATGTCTTGTAGGTTAATTACACTGGACTTTCTGCCCGACAATGAGACACGAGGCTTCACTGCACAAAATTAGATGTGTGTGTTTGTGTGTGGCCAGCTGCATGTTTAATGACAAAACATGATGAGATAGGGACTGTGCCGGGCACATCCACCTGTTCTCTTCTCCCAGCCCCCTCTCAAAACACACGCACACACAGGCACACACACTAGACTATTCATGCATAAATAAAAAGCTGTATGAAGAAGCTTGTTCCTCCGTGCAGTCCCAGAGAAGAACAGAACATTTTAGATGATGTCTTAGTTAACTGGTATTTTTCAACTTGGGCCCTATGTTTATAAAGGTGTGTGTGTAAATTAATAATATCCACAAACTAGCCTCCAACAGCAACTGCATCACTGGCTATAATGTAATCTTATGGTCTTTGTTGCAGGAAGATGGAGGTGGAAACGTGAGTGAGAGTAAAAGAGAGAATGTTGGAGAGTAGAGGATATTAATTAACAAAATAATATGCGGATATGAGCAATTTATTGGCATAAAAATATGGGCATTGCAGACTGTCACTGTTGCCCCATAAGATTGCATTGTTATGCATAGTCATACTCAACAAACAACAAGTTTGTCGGGAGAAGTTTATCCCTTTAATATTGCTTGTTTTTCATTTCTTTTCAGCTCCCTCCTCTTTTTGCCTGTATACTCTCAGAAGTTTGAAAAAGAGGCCAAATATTAGAATAAAATGAATTCGAGGAAAATCCGTTTCGCCGCAACACATATTAACAATTAAAGCTCTTGGCAGAAACAGCCTTTGAAGAACAATAGCGGGCGGTCCTGTTTTTATAATGTACTGCGAGTGGCCTGACACACGTATGCGGTGGCCAGTTAGAGACTTGGAGACTTTTCTCCTCTGGTCTTGAGGTCTTTCTCTTTTCCGCTCTGTTTTGCAGCAGCAGAACTAATAACTGCTCATGACCGCATCATAAGTCTTTTAATCCTGGGATCTTTATAATCCTTTGAAGCAGATGCTGTAAAACTTACAGCGCAGGCACAACACAGTGTCAGGCCTGACATACTGCAGATGTACTTTATGCTATTATTAAACTACACAATTCATGGCCACTTTTGATTGTGGACAAATTACTGGACTTCAAATACAAGCACATCAAAGATCCCTCAGCTCTCTGTGCATCGTGCACACAAATAAAGAAAAAACACAAATTCCTCCCAGTGGTGATGGCTCTTCAGGATGAGAGTTTGAGAACACAACATGGACTTATCAAAGCGAGGACCTCGACCTTTTGGATGAGTGAGGGGTTGGGTGGGGTGAAGACGCTGTTTTCATGCTGCTGAACTTAGTGAATCTGAACGACCACAAGACACACAACCAGCCTTATTCTGTAGGCAGGCACAGCCCCGAGCTGCAATCACAGGGGTCAGCCACACGAGTCCCACTGAGGGAACCCTTCTAATCAACCTGGGGGCCGCTATCCGTCCCCCACCCTACCCTGGCCCCCGGCATACAACAAGCCCCACTTAAACGCAGACGGTATAGACTGACATGACAGAGCCCCGAAGCTCTGGAGAAAATGAGAGAAGGAGCTAAAGTGACAATGAGTGAGAAATGCAGGGTGTTGTTTTTGTCGTTTGAGTTGGTGAGAATTTGATCGGCGTGAAGGTCAAACAGTGTGACATCTGGGCGGGGAGAGGAGGCAGGAAGACAGACAGAGCGGAGAGATTGTGATGAGGGGAAAAATAGCAACAAAAAAAACGAGGAAATGAGCAATGGAACGAGAGAATGACGCAGGCTGCCGTTCCTCCCTTTATCAACTTCCACACGGTGCAGGGACAGAGAGGCGACAGAAGAAAGCATTGCCTGAGGCAGCAATAGTTTATACTAAATGATGTGTGTGTGTGTGTGTGTGTGTGTGTGCACTCATTTCTATTGCCTCTTTAGGTCCATATCCAGCATGAACACTGACCTTGTCAGATTCATGGGGACCAAATCCTGGTTCTAATGAGGCAACACGTCATTTCCGAGGTCCTGGTAGTGGTTAGATGTGAACTGTGGTTAGGTTAAGGTTCGGGTTAGGAATGAATTGGTTATGGTTGAGGTTAGGAATAAAGTTCTGTGTACAATGAACGGATGTCAATGCAAAGTCCCAATAGATGTGCAAATTGTTCAGGTGAGATATTTTCATAATCATAATGGTAAAATATTTTGAATATTCAGGCAATGGGTGACGCCTAAGTAGAGCATGCAGGAGGCAGTGTGTGTGTTAGTGTGTGTGTGTGTGTGTGTGTGTGTGTGTGTGTGTGTGTGTTCACCAGCTCTGACAACACTTTGACATCTCTCACTGTTCCCTTCAGCATGTAAGACTTGTGTCTGGATGTAAACTGAATCTCACATCTTGCTCCGTTTATCTTTTCCTCTCTCATATACCTTTCTTCCTAACTACCCTCCATCTCACCGGAGATGTTTTCTCAGACTCAGATGTTTTATTTAACAGCGGAGGCGGTGCACATGGAGCTGAAGCAGACAGGATGGAGGAAGGATAGAGAGAGGAGGAAAGAAAGAAAAAAAACTGGTGGATTTTCCGCTGACTGTAATGACGGGGGAATCATTAATGATCATGACACCAAAGCAATTCAATAGCAATATGCCCTGTAGGATGGATGGGCAAGTTGGTGTTTCAGTGAAGGCAACAAAGAATACGGTACAATGGCAGAGCAAAATATTCCCCTCTGTGATAAATGAATAATTCATGATCGCAGTTTGAAAAGGTTGCCTCCACTTCAAGCTCATCCTTTAAACCTTGACGTTACTTTTTTTTGCTGAATTTTGCCCGAAGCCTCAATCGGCAACAACACAGGTCTGACTCTCCCAAATCCAAAGCTTCACTTCTGAACGGCTTCAGTCTCACTCAATGACGAATCTTAGCAGATAAATGACAGTGATGCCTCCATTACTGCCCAATGGATCCACATTTTTCATCTTAATGAAACATGCTTGTTGGAGCCCAAACTAAATATTTAATGACCTCTCACTGCAACCTTGAAACCCCTTGAACAAAGACAAAGAGACACCCCACTTTCTTCCTTTTCTTTTCATTCATCCTTTTCTCTTTCTGTCTGTCCCTCCCCTCAACCGGAGAAGGAAAAAAAGGAAAAACTAAACAAGAGTGGGCATCTCAAAGGAGTCCAGTTCTGTTTTTAGTCTAAGAGGAAGTGAGGATCCAAGGAAAGTGACACTGGGCTCCTTTAATGAGCTGTTCCCACAGAGCTGCAGTTAAATACTCGGCTGGACAAAATGCAGAAGTAAGGGTGTTAGCATTTCTTATCTTGGAGTAAAAGCCCAAGTGGGACGAGGAATGAACCAATTCACTGTCTAAGAGCTATGGTTCAGTGAGAGCTGGGGTTGTAAAGTAAGGGCAGTGTTTTTATCACCTGCCTCTCTCTGGAATGAATGGTACGATCCAGTGCTTCTCAACAACTGTGTCTTTCTGCCAGTTTTCTAATGTGCCATGTTATCATCTACATTCACAGCACTTAGCACTTTTCCAGGTGTAAATTAGTCCAAGATTTAACAGTAAGAATGAAAATCAACCAAATTCTGAAACCTGAACTTAGGTTCATGGCCGTTGACGATGCTGTGTATTGGCTTCCTCTTCCTTTTAAACGAATATCTGCGACCATTAAACATATAATTAAGCCACTTGGAGTCTCTCAATCAAAACAATAACAAAGGACCTGTGACGACATGAGGCAGCGTGGGATCATGGGAGTTGTGTTCTCCACCATTGTCGATGAAAATCTACCTGACGCAACTCAGGCGCAAATTGAGACTTATGAGTTAATGTATTCAAGTTTTATTCCAGTTATGCAGCAAATGCAATGAATTATCATGATCCATTATGAGTGACCAATACAAACAGAGAAAGGAAAAACTGCTGACTGGCTAACTGGCTATTGTGTGGTTTACCTTAGTCATGCATCGTGTTCCCTAGGAGTTGTAGCAGAGACGGGCAAAGCCACGGTAAAGCGGTTGCAATTAAAAGACAACCAAAAGGAAACCACGAAGAATTGTTATGTATGACATGTTTAAATCCACTTCACATAAAGTGACTGGGTGTGTGAGTGTATGTGCACTATGGAGTCAAAGTGTGTGTGAGTGAATGTTACTGTGAGTTAGTGTAAGTGTGTAATCTGCATGTCTGAAGCCAAATGCCTGCTGTGCTGGCAACTCCAAGTGGCCCCAGTCCAACGCGATGTTAGTCAGTCTTACACGAGTGTTTGTAAATGTGAATGCTGGCAGGATGTGAGTTTGTGGTGTATTCAAACCGAGCTGTACAAAGAGGACAATAACAGACCTTCCAGTGTTTGAGTAACCTGTAAGCAGCTGGCAGGTCTGAGCCTCCGCCAGACAAAACAACGGATCAATTTTTCATTCAGCGACCGGGGCAGAGGAAGGGAGGCTGCCACAGACCAAATAACAGAGCGCTGTGGAAGTGTACTTAGAGAAGTGATTGAATGGAAACAAAAACATCTCCTCTCCATCGTCTTCACCTTTCACACACATGAATCCCACAGTGAGTGCGGTCGCTGACGGTGTTAGGCAACGTAATACGATGAGTTCCTGGCACATGTTCAGACGCGCACGAATCAGCATGTGAAAAATGTCAACTGTAACTTTTACTCACAGCAACAAGGATCTGCGTGCCGCTGTGCACGACCTCGATGTACTGGTAGTCCATGAGGCAGCCCATGACAGTGATGTAGGAGTGGCTCTCTGTGGTGCGGATCCCTGGAGCCTGCGGCATCTCTCTCCTCACACAGCCCGGCCCGTGCTCGCTCCACCAGGAGTGATGGGCTGAGATGTTAAATGTCAGCAGGTCACTGTCCTGGAAGGAGAATAAAAAAGTAGAGAGTTACTTCTTTGTTAGAACTCGATTCATTACTTATGAAGTACATTCATTTATTCTTTATGAGAAAACCAAGACTGAATCACAGGTCAGGTTTGTCATGACACAGGAAGATTATCTCTGGGCGGAAACAAGAATCTTTAGTCCACTTTCTTGAGAGGACATTTTTCAAAATCTTTGTTAATTTATCTGAGAATAATTAATGGATCTTAATGAAAAAAAAAATCTAGCGTATTGTGGGAACTGATATACATGAGTGTGTGGAATTTGCTGCAGCTTGATTGAATTCAAAAGGACCGTTGGGTCTTGGCAGAGGTGTGTACTCTAATGAGTTAGAAATATATTCACCTATACTTATATCTCTCCATGTGATAGTTTGGGTCTTGATTTTATTGGTTATTTGTTTTGAAATACAAAAATTAAAGCACTTACAAACAAGATTAACAGTCTATAGTCATGTTTGGGGTTAACTGAGTCTGTACTTTAGCACCATTGTACTTCGAGCTAATGCCAGCCTGCTAACAACAACAATGCTAAGTTGGTAGGCTACTGTTTACGTACATCATCAGTTTCATGTGTATAAATGATGGTTTCAGTTGCCCAGGTTACCCTCCTTTACAATTTCTGCTGTCACTCTAATTACACTGAGATGGAGAGACTTCAGTTTGTTGTGCTTAAAAGATTTAAAATGTACATTTAATTGAGCTATGTGTTCCTCACAGACTCAACAGTCTTCAAGTCTGTTTGGAACTACTTCCTGGTGAAAAAATCTAAATATGAAAATTGTCGACTGTGTGTTCTGTGGTTGCTCAATTTGCACACAGCCATATGAGCCCGTAAACACAGAAATATAGACGCTCACACGAATCAATACCCGAATACAGCAATCTAACCCTGTATCTGCCCCTCAGTGACAAGACATGCATTATTAATGGACATATTTCAACAACACGTACATAAAAACACTGGTCGCATCAACTTCAACAACAGGGAAGATATGCAGCACGAGTCATGAACAATATCACATAAAGCTGCTGAATGTAATAAGTCTCTCTCTTTCTCTGTCTCAGAAACAAAGTCGGCTGAAGGTCAATAGGTAGGAGACTAATGACTTGACTGATGCCATTGATTGAGCCCGCGAGCCGGGGAAACCATCTCTGCTCAAGCTGTGGCACAATGTCAGCAGTTGATATCGAAGAGGCTTTTGGGCAACGTACTGTCAGGAGCGTTATTGTTATGCTCCCGTGAGCCTAAAAGCCTGAATCAATCTTAGATTCAAGGTTACTCTCCTGATATCGCTCAATCTACTTTGTTCAACAATATTCAGTACGTGTTTGGACACAAATCCTGTTACTGGAGTCACTGGAGATGATGAGGTATTAAACATCAAATGATTTAAATCTTACTTCTGTGATTCATTGTGTCTGAAATACAGAGATAATTTGTGTTTGTGCGATCACACTGGGGAGTGAACACGAGTGGCTAACTGGATGTTGTAGACTGTGCTGTTGGGTCTCATATTTACTTAGATTTCATAAAGATGCACATGCAGGGTGGTTGCATATTCATCCAGGAGCTGGAGAGGCTGAGCTAAACCGAGAGAGGCAGAAAAATCTAAGAAACATAATAAACTTTGCCAAAGAGGTTATTTGTTATCTGTGTTTGTTATTAAGAATTATGCGTTATGGAGAACTGGATCAGGAGGCAGATCAAGGAATTTCTTTAACATTGAGAGTTAAGTATTTTTTCAACATTTTCAATGATTTCTCAGAGAATAATTAATCTTGATGAATAAAATGGGCAAGTTTAGGGGACTAATATTTATTCATTTTAATAAAAATCCAGAAAGAATCAATTTATATGTGGTTTCAAAGGGAAGCTGTTGAACTTTGGTGGAGGTTATTACTCTCTGAGCGTGCTTCTACTTCATTTTAAATAAAATCTGATCTTTCAATTTCTTTAAGTTTGTTTTTATAAATGTCAAAGCAATGAGAGGATTACTAAGTTTATTTTTCTCCCTCTGCTCTAAAAGTCACCAACCACAATATCTTCATCTCATTCTCCCCTTTTTCTGGTTCTGTTATCAGACAACCTGTGAAGTCAAGAACTGTGATTTGATCACGGCTCATAAATGCTAATCGAGCAAAACATCTGAACCTTTGCAAAAATGTCCTATTAATGCATTCGCTAGCTGTAGAAACAACTTGAGTCTGGTCCAAGCTCAGATCCACTGGGTCATCTGAGAAAAACTGACATTCAAAGAATTAAAGGCAAGGCTGTTTTATTTGCAAAGCACCTTTCATGGTAGATTCAATGAGCTGTACAGAAACTAAAGAAAGCAGCTGCCAGACAGTAGCATTTTGTACACTGTTCTTTGTTAATACCACAAGAGAGAAGAGAAATAACATTTTTAAATTAGAGTAAAAGCTTAACCAATTTGGGGAACATGAAGAGTCTTATTTTTATTTCCGAATAGAGTAAAGAGGCTTTTTCATATTCAGATAGCTCAGTGAGAGTGTGTGTCTCTGTGTTCATAGTGTGAGCATGAATGAATAAAAAGAGAAGTGGTGAATGATTAAAAGTGTTTAAGACAGTGGTGTGTGCAGAGTAGCAGGGGTCCGTCTGTCAGTCTGACTCGCACTGTGGGGGAGGGGATAAGGGATATCAATGGGAGGTGACAGAGCATGTGGCATATGACTCTGACAACCCTGCACATTGAGGGGCTTGTCACCCACACACACACACACACACACACACACACACACACACACACACACAGTTCATTCACATATAAATAAAAACATACCCTCCAGTGATGTGCTGTCAACATCGGTCAATGCAAGGCTAGACTGGTTTAAAATAAAATGTGTTGGGGGGTCCTCTCAGAAAGCGTTGCATCAAGTCTGGTCATGCATGTGTACATAGGGCTTGTGTGTGTGTGTGTGTGTGTGTGTGTGTGTGTGTGTGTGTGTGTGTGTGTGTGGGCACTCCATTAGCCAGCTCTCCTCCTGGCCACCATATGCAGAGCTGGGAGCCCAGGCTGGCTCCATCTGTCAGGTTAATGCCCAGTCTCAGCCCCGAGCAGCTGGCCCCTACAAGCCTCATTATTCTAGCAGGAACTGTGCAGGAGCACACAGCTACACACACACGCACACGCACACGCACACACAAACTGGACACATGTAGACATACGCGTTGAGAGACAGACACACTTGATGGAGCCAAGATCTATCACCCAACGAAAAAGTCATTGGAGCTTGGGAAGGTGTTTCTGAAATTCATTTTGCCTCTCCGAGGTTGTGCTGAGGAGGACTGTTGCCAACATTATTGTCAGTGGTCTGATACGCAACCGGGCAAGTCACCCATCAATAACTAGAGAGGCTGGGGGAGGGACTGAGGGGGCTTGTAGGGAGGAGATGGGAAAAGAGAGGTGCTGTCTTGAAAAAGACAAGATGTGGAAGTTGCAAACTTGTTGTATATTAGAAGAAAAAATAACATCAAAAGGATCAGCAAGATTAGGGAAAATACTGTGAGAAGACAAGTTGACAGGAGGAGGGAGACAGAGAGGTGACAACCCAAACACTTGTCTTTGTCTGGATAAATACACGCTTAATCTGCACTTAGGAA